TAATAATCAATGTAATGAAACAAGCTATATGAACGGTTGAGTGTGAAACTGATGATGTGCCCTGTAAACTTTCACTCAATGCAAAATAAAAACATTTAATTTAAAAAAAAAAAAAAAAAAAGGCATTTACAGTGAACAAATCATTGGTCTTGCAAATTTTATCATGTGATCTCCAGGACCACTTCTATCACCAAGGCCATATTTCCCAACCACTGATCCATCCTCTTTGTTTCCAACCTTTGCATTCCAATCACCAGTAATGATCAATATATCTTGATTGCATGTTTGATCCATTTCAGACTGAAGAAGTTGGTAGAATTCTTTAATTTCATCATCACTGACTTTAGTGGTTGGTGAATAAATTTGAATAATAGTGGCATTAACTGGTCTTCCTTGTAGGCGTGTGGATATTATCCTATCCCAGACAGCGTTGTACTTCAAGATAGATCTTGATATGTTCTTTTTGATGATGAATGCAATGCCATTCCTCTTCAATTTCTCATTCCTGACGTAGTAAGTCATGTGATTGTCTAATTCAAAATGTTCAATACAATTCCATTTCAAATCACTCATGGCTAGGATATTGATGTTTATATGTTCCATTTCATTTTTACAATTTCAAATTTTTCTAGATTCATACTTCAGACATTCCAAGTTCTAATTATTAATGGATATTTACAGCTGTTTCTCTTCATTTTGATTGTGCTCCGTCAGCAAATGAAGGTCCTGAGGACTTTATTCCATTTGTGTCATCACAGTCAACTCTGCTTTGAGGAGGCAGCTCTTCCCCAGTCATATTTTGAGTGCCTTCTAACCTGAGGGATCATCTTCCAGGACTATATCTAACAGTGTTTCTCTGCTATTCTTAAGGTTCTCAGTGACTAAATATTTGGAAGTAGTCCATCTTTCCTTCTTCCTAGTCTGTCTTCGTCTGGAAGCTCATCTGAAACTTGTCCACCATGGGTGACCCTGCTGGTATTTAAAATACCCATGACATAGCTTCCAGAATCACAGCAACACACAAGCCACCACAGTACCACAAAACTGACAGATAAGTGGTGAAAACTGACATTTTGCCCAACAAGTGCTCTTCTATAATGCCTGACACCCTTGATCATCCTGGCTGAGGTCTCTAGGTCCAGTCATTGCCCCATTTGACAGAGAACAGGAACCATAGCCTTGAACCCTGGCCCCACTCTGTCTCTATACCCCACTTTTACTAATGCCTGCCCCACCACATCACCCCCAACCTTCAGGGCCTTACTTTCAGATGCCATCCACTTAGTTCACACCTTAACTGATAAGGGCTTAACACATGTGCACTCTAAGGTCATGAGCAATATTGTGGAACCTCTTAAATTCTCCTCACCACTTATCTGTCACTTTGTAGTACTTTGGTGACTTGCATGTTTCAGTAAAGCAAGAAACTCTATCACCAGTATTGTAAATCCAAAGAGGTCACCCATGGTGGACAAATTTCAACAGACCTTACAGACTACCACAGACTAAGATGTTTGCTGATTGTTGTTGGTAAGTGCTGTCACGTCAGTTCTGACTCATAGCAACCCTGTATAGGGTTTTGAGAAGCAGCTCGTGGTTTTGAACTACCAACCTTACAGTTCAAAATCAGGTGCTGAACCTACAGGTCCAGCAGTGAAACATAGTCAGACAGAGTGTCAGAAGATGAACACCTTATGAACAGAAGCAGAACATTGTCAAATAGAGTGCTGGAGGACAATCTCCTCAGGTGGAAAGGCACTCAAAATAGGACATGGGAAGAGCTGCCTCTTCCAATTAGAGCTGACAATAGTGACGCAAATGTAGTAAAGTTTTCAGGACCTTCATTTGCTAATGGTACACAACTCAAAATGAGAAGAAATATCTTCAAACATCCGTTAATAATAGGAATGTGGAAGATACAAAACAAAAATCTAGGAAAATTCAAAGTTGTCAAAATGAAATGGAATTCATATAGATTTATATCCTAGGCATTAATGAGCTGGAGTGGACTATTAATGGCCATTTTAAATTAGACAGTCATATGGTTTACTTCTGGTGTGGTGTTGCCGGTTAATGCGGTAAACTGCAACGTTAAGGCTGGCAGTTCTAACTCACCAGCTGCTTCTTGGAAACCCTGTACAGGGTTGCTATAAGTCGGATCCTAACTAGATGGCACTTAACAATGAATGAACAATGGTTTACTATAGGAGCTCTGGTAGCGTAGTGGTTATGAATCAGGCTGCGAATCTCATGGTCAGCAGTTCAAAACTACCAACTGTTCCATGGGAGAAAGATGAGATTTTCTGCTCCCATAAAGATTTACAGACTCAGAAACCCTGTACAGGGTCGCTATGAGTCGGAATTGACTCCACAGCACATAACAACAACAACAATGGTTTACTATGCCACGAATGACAAATTGAAGAAGAATGCTGTCTCGGTCATAGTCAAAAAGAACATTTCAAGATCTATCTTGATATACACTACTGTCTGTGATAGGATAAAATCCATATGCCTACAAGTAAGAGCAGTAACTACTATTATTCCAATTCACATGCACCAACCACTAATTCCAGTGATAATGAAATAGAATTCTACCAACTTCTTCAGTCTGAAATTGATCAAACATGTGATTAAGATGCATTGATAATAATTGGCGATTGGACTGCAAAAGTTGGAAACAAAGATGAAGGGTCAATAGTTACAAATTATGGCTTCAGTGATAGAAATGATGCTAAAGATCCCATGACAGAATTTTGAAAGACCAATGACTTATTTGGACTCCTGGTGTGGCGCTGTAGAATAAATGCTAGACTATAAAGTCAGTTTGAACCAAAAGGTCAGAAATTCAAACCCAAAATTTGTTGTTCTTCGGTGGAGACTCTCAAGAACAAATTGGAGAAAGTCTCACACACACAAAAAAAATTGGCAGCCACCCTCTCTGGTTTTGGAAGTCATCACCAAGCCATATTGCCTTCCTATTGGTCTATACTACATCAAATAGAATCAACTATATTACCATCAAGCCAATTCCAAGTCACTGAGGCCATATAGAACAGAGCAGAATTGTCCCATAGGGTTTCCAAGGCTGTAGCGTAGTGGTTACGAATTGGGCTGTGAGCCGCAAGGTCAGCAGTTCAAAACTACCAGCGGTTCCGCGGGAGAAAGATGAGGTGGTCTGCTCCCGAAAAGATTTACAGCCTTGGAAACCCTGTTGCTATGAGTCGGAACCGACTCCATGGCACATAACAACAACAACAATCTTTATAGAAGCAGATGGCCTCATCTTACTCCCAATAAGCAAATAGTTTGAGCCACTGATCTTTTGGTTAACAGCCCAGTGCCACTAAGTTAATCCATGTGCCATCAGGTCTCCTAAAATAAAATAGTAGAGGGTCCCAAATGCTAGTCAAGAACCCCCAGATCCTAAGCCACGTTTGGAAGAAACAGTCAACCCCAGGCCCTTATTGCCCAATACTTTTGATGGGATCAAACTGGAGAGGAAAGAAAACAGCTCCTCTCCCACATAAATGTCCTCAGTCAGAACAGTAGCCTTCTTAGGTTTATGCCCAAGGCATTTTACTCACTTGTCCTGACCTGACCCTGAGGCCCCAAGCCTTCTCACCACTCCTCCAACCTGCTCCATCTTGACTCTTGCCTTGAACCCTGTGTCCAGGGCTCCCTGAGCTTTTGCAGAGGATGACTGCACTTGGTTCCCAGCTTTGATCTGCTCTTCACTCTAAAATTCACAACAAACCTATGAGACCGACTCCTATTCTTATTGACTGAAGGACCAATCTGAGTCTCTAAAACACCATATAACTAGCCCACTGTCGCAGAGCTAACTGTGCAGGACAGAGACAGGGACCAAGCCTACTGTGTCCAGCTCCGCCCCACCTTACGACCCTTCAAAAGCTCTTGCAGTGTTTGTACAATGGCTTGGGTGGGAAGAAAAAGGCCTCTAGCCTGAACTCCCAAGAACACAAATTTTGATTGTCAGGAATTTTCTAATTTACCCTAAGAGATTGCCTCTGACTTCGTGAATGGAGATCCTTGGCCCCTGTCTCCTCCAGCAAAGGTTGTGATTGAGCACATGGTACAACATCAGTTTATTCTCTTCACAATAAAACACAGCAGATGAGGAGAGTGTGGAGAGTGGGGAAGTAGCTTGTCCAATGTCACATGACTCTCAGATGGCACCAGCCCCATGCAGGTTTCATCCCTTTAACCCCGAGACCCTTCACTGCCAGAGAATGACATGGAGGAGATCTTCCTCATGGACTGTTGAGAAGGACATCATCAACCCATCCACAGGAGACTGCCTGGAGGAGGTGTGCCTGCCAGGGGACAACTAGCCCAGCAGGGAGAGCAGGGTGGCATTTGTGGTACACTGTGGAGACTACCTGGTCAAATTGACATCAGCCACTAATTTCTCCCACGCCTTGTCATTAAACAGGAGTTGCAGCTTGTCTTGGGTCACTTTGCTCCTGAAATACTCAAGGACATCCTCAATGAAGTGTTGGTTCTCTAGTTGGAAGAAGTAGAATATAGTTAGAGGGAATTATGGGAGAACATAAATTGTCTTGAGAATAGTAAGGTGATTCTAAGCGCATCTTTTCAGCCACTGCAACCTTGAGTACTTTTGATGGAGACCCCTGGGAAGTTGACATTTTGTGGAGGAATGAGTCATTGTCAGCTAAGAACATCAAGAATTTGAGCTTTCGAATCTCAGAAAATGGGAGAATCCCAACAGTTTACATTGACCACATGTCTCCTGTGTGGGAAGCGGTTTTATCTTGTCACATAATGTCTTCAAAATGTCAGTTGGAACAATCATTGGGTCATAACATTACTTTTTGGATCAAAGACAGCATTTTACAAAGAAATTGGAATTGAAAATATCAGTGTTCTGAATGTAGTAGGAAAGGATACTGCTTTTGTGAACTGTTTCATGTATAATGTGTTGTCTTGTTCTATTATATCAATTCTGATTCACGGCAACCCCAGGTTTTGTAATGTGGCTTTAATTTATTTTCAGATCTAGATTTCTATTTATTCCTTGTGGTTTAAAATGACTAATTTTGATTAGAACAAAAATAAACAGGCTGTTTTCTACAACACAGGTACCCCCTCTGCAGCACCATACTGGGGTGGGCGGAGGGGCACCCCCAAGAGGAAACCAGAAGGCCTATTCTTGCTGTTCCTTTCCTCTGGCCCCAGTTTTAGGCATGTGATTTTTTAAATGCTGCTTTTTGGATACTAATTGAGTGAATTAGGGGGAAGGCTTTGAGGGGCTGACTGAAGAAACCCACCCTAAACATTTTCCCCCAGAAGGGGAAATGATTCAAAATTCCTTCTTATGCAAAGCTACCCTCTTCTGCTGATCTGTCCCCCTACCACCAATGTCATGGGGCTGTGACCCATTCCTGGAGAAACGAAATACCAACAAGCCTAGAAAAGGACCTCTGCTCTCTGAGTCCTGCCCTCTTCAGACCTATGTCCCAGGGTTCACCTCTCCTGAGCTTCCTTCCTGATCACTAAGCACCAATGCCAGAGGGTGCTAGTTCCCTAGTAACTGGGATGAAGAGAAGGGATCACGGGCAATAAGGAAGTGTCTCCCCTGTTTTCATGCCCATCTAAGGAACAGGAAAAATAGAAAATAGGATCCTCCTCTTTCCGCATGTCCATCCCTCATTTTCCCATCCCAACATACATAGACGATTTCTTTTATACTTATTAGATATAAGTGTATGATGTGGTTCTCAAGTGCCCTTGAGTCAGAGGCAGCTCGTAGCAATGCTTTATGGGATTCCAGAGGCCAGAATTCTTCGTGGGAACAGATAATCTCATCTTTCTCCCGCAGAGTAGTTAGTGGGCTCAAAACTCCAATCTTGTGGTCCACAGTCCAGTGTTTATCCTACAGAGTCACTGTAATTATATTTATAAATATATACATTTATATCCATGCATACACATTGTTGGAGTCCTCATGTGGCACTGTAAGATAAGCACTGGACTACTGACTGAAAAGTCAATGGTTGCAACCCACCTGCCATTCCTTGGAAATCCTATACAAGGTCAGTATGAGTCAGATATGACTTGATGGCAATTAACAAAAACATATATATATATATATATATAGTTGTTATTAGGTGACCCTGTATAGGGTTTCCAAGAAGCAGCTAGTGAGCTTGAACCGACCTTGTAGACCAGTGCATTAGCCCACAGCACCACACCAGGAATCTGCATGTTGTTGCTGTTGTTATTGTTAAGTGTACTTGTGCCAATTCTGACTCATAGTGACCCCATATAGGGTTTCCGAGGAGGGGCTGGTGAGTTTGAACTGACAACCTTGCCGTTCAAACCAACCATGCGGTCCAGGGCTTATTCTATGGTGTCACACCAGGACTCCCATCTGCATATATCACGTTAATAATGAGCATTTCTTTGAGCCTGATGCCATGCTTCTTCATATAATCAAACTTCTCTGATTATTTGCTCACCAAACCAATTGTGTTAAGTATGGTGAAAAATACATCCTCGGAGCACAACTTACCTATTAAACATTCAGTAACCCCTTGTTCTGTTCTAACAACTGCTTCCTGGTCTACATATGGGTTCCACACGAACACAATTGAGTTTTCTGGAATACTCATTCTTTGCAATGTTATCCATAGTTTGTCATTATCTGCACAGTCAAAAGCCTTGGCATAGCCAATAAAGCACAAGTATACATCTTTTCTAATATTATCTGCTTTCAGCCAACATCCATCCGACATTAGCAATGACATCCCTCATTCCACATCCTCATCTGAGTCTGCCTTGAACTTCCGGCAATTCCCTGTGAATGTACTGTTGCATCCATTTTTAAATAATCTTCACAAAAATTTCATTTGCATGTGATATTATATTGTTCGATGATTTCCACATTCTGTTAGATCACCACTCTGTGTTGTTGTTATTGGTGGTGGTGTTAGGTGCCATCAAGTCGGTACTAACTCATAGCAACCCTATGCACAATAGAACGAAACACCACCTTGTCCTGGGCCAACCTCACAATCGTTGCTACACTTGAGCCCACGCTGCCTCCACTCTGTCAGTCCATCTCCTTGGGGTCTTCCTCTTTTTCAATGACCCTCCACGTCATCAAACATGTTATCTTTCTCCAGTGACTGGTCCCTCCTGATATATAGTATGTCTGAAGTATGAGAGACTACGTCTGGCCATCCTGGTTTCAAGGAGAACTGGCTGCACTTCTTCCAACATAGATCTGCCTGTTGTTTCGGGCAGCCCATGATACTTTTTAATATTATTCTCCAACACCATAACTCAACTTCTTCAATTCTTCTCCGGTCTTTATTTTTGTCCAAATTTTACATACATATGAGGTTATTGAAAATACCATGGCTTAAGTTAGGAGCACCTTACTCCTCAAACTGACTCTGCTCTCAACACTAAATAGGTTTTGTGCAGCAGATTTGCCTAATGCAATACATCACTTGATTTCTTGACTGCTGCTTCCATGAGTGTTGATGGTTGATACAAGCAAAATGAAGCATTTGACAACTTCAACCTTTTCTCCATTTATCTCGATGCTGTTTATTGGTCCAGTGGTGAGGATTTTTTATTTTCTTTACATTGACGTGCAACCCATACCAGACCATATCAAAGTCTATGGTCTTTGATGTTCATCAGTAAGAATTTCAAGTCCTCTTTGCTTTCCACAGACAAGGTGGTATCATCTGCATATCACAGGTTGTTAATTAATCTTTCTCCAATCCTGATGCCACATTTTTCTTCATATAATCCAGTTTCTCAGATTATCTGTTTGGCATACAGATTGAATAAGCATGGTGAAAGAATACAACCCTGGCACACTGCTTTCCTGATTTTAAACCATTCAGTGTTCCCATGTTGTGTACAAACAACTGCCCCTTCGTCTATGTATAGGCTCCTCATGAGCACAATTAAGTGTTCTGGAATACTCATACTTCACAATGTTGTCTATAACTTGTCATGATCCATACAGTCGAAAGCCTTTGCTTAGTTAAAAAAGCACAGGTAAACATCTTTTTGGTATCCTCTGCTTTCAGTCAAGATGTCAGCAATGACATCCCTCATTCCACATCCATTGCTCTTTGGAATGGACACAAATATGGATCTCTTCCAATCAGTGGCCAGATAGCTCTCCTTCAAATTTCTTAGCATAGATGAGTGAGTACATCCAGTGTCAAAATCAGATTACTGAAATACTTCAATTTGTATCCCATTCATTCCTGGAGCCTTGAGTTTTCCAGTACCTTCAGTTCCACTTTGACTACTTGTTACCATGCCTTTGGTTTTTGATCATATGCTACCTGTGAAATGGTTGAACATTGACTGTTTTTTTTTGGTACAGTGACTGTGTATTCCTTCCATCTTCTTTTGATGCTCTCTGTATCATTCAATATTTTGCCCATAGATTCTTTCAATATTGCAAGTTGAGGTTTGAATTTTTTCTTCAGTTCTTCAAGCTTGAACGAAAGCTGAGTACATCCTTCCCTTTTGATTTTCTTACTCCAAATGTTTGTATATTTCATTTTAACACTTGACTTTGTTTTCTCTAGCTGCCCTTTGAAATTCACTGTTCAACTCTCTTACCTGCTCATTTCTCCCATTCACTTTGCCTTCTCTGTGCTCAAGAGCAAGTTCAGAATCTCTTCTGGCCTTCATTTTGGTCTTTTCTTTCTTTTCTGTTTTTTAATGGCCTTTTCTTCTCTTTCTGAATGATGTTCTTAATGCCAGCCCACAACTCCTTTGGTCTTCGGTCACTAGTGTCTAATGCATCAATTCTGCTCTTGAGATGGTCTCTAAATTCAGGTAGGATTTAGTTAAGGTCATATTTTGACTCTCGTGGGCTTGTTCTAAGTTTTTTCAGCTTTAGCTGGAGCTTGTATGTGAGTAACTGATGGTCTGTTCCACAGTCTGTCCCTGGATTGTTTTGACTGCTATTAAGCTGTCTACATATGTTTTCCCACAGATGCAGTCAATTTGATTCCTGTGTATTTACAATGAAGAAGTCATTGGTCTTGCCAATTTCTATCATGCAATCCCTAGCATCATTTCTATCACTAAGATCATATTTTCCAGCTACTGTTCTTTCTTCTTTGCTTTCCACTTTTGATTTCCAATCACCAGTAATTATCAATGCATCTTGATTGCACATTTGATCAATTTCAGATTGAAACAATTGGTAGAATTCTTTAATTTCCTCATCACTGACTTCAGTAGTTGATTCATCAATTTGAATAGCAGTGGTCTTCCTTGAAGGCATATGGATGTTATCCTATCACACACAGCATTGTACTTCAACATAGATCTTGAAATGTTCTTTTTGATGATGAATGTGACACCATTCCTCTTCAGTTTTTCATTCCCAGAATAATAAACCATACAATTGTCTGATTCAATGAGTGATGATGGTTGATCCAAGCAAAACAAAGTTTTTGACCACTTCAGTATTTTCTCCATATATCTTGATGCTGTTTATCG